TTAGAGAAGAACCCGTCCAGAGGACCTATACTATTTTTTTCTTTTTGATTTTTTACCTGGATTCCTGAGATGCATCAGGACGTTAAAAGCTAAAAGAGACAAAATGCTAGTTAAATGCCAAACTTTGCAACATGCTAGCTACAACTAGCAAACCATCAACTAAAAGTAGAACAACAGTAGCTAGAAGTTAATGGAAATGCCTAGCTATGAGCTAAAAGTAGCATAACTCCAGCTAAAAGTTTGTTAAAAGGTTCAAATAACGAAATGCTTACCAAAAGTACTAAAAGCTCGGCTAAAAACTTATTGTATAAAAGGGCTAGACAAAAGCTAAAAGTTGCAAAACATTAGCTAAAAGTAAAAGTTTAATGAAGCATATTTCAGAGAGACAAATGTCTTTGAAAGAATCATGTTATCAATTTATTCCTGTGGAAGAAAAACTTGTAAATAAAGTTAAATACTTTGAATAGAATAAAAATTACAAAAAACAAAAGATCTAACGTCTATCTCCTAAATGAGCTGAACGTTTGGAGGTATGGGTAAAACAGCACAAAGCATACAGAAGTAGTTTGATTGTAATAAAACATGCAGAAAAAACAAACAAGTCGTAGAATAATGAAAATCCTTATTTCTGCTTTCAGATTGACTCGTAYGGAGGATCACTGAGGTATAAGGTGCGATACACACTGGCACGGGGCCTGTCTGAGCCAGTGGTGAGGTCAAACGTGATTCTGGTGGGAAATGGGCGTAGGCTTTTGTACCACAGAGAGAGCAGCAACACCCCTCCCAATGTGCCCAGCCAGAAACACATCAGATTCACTGAAGTAAGGCTCTGGTCAATACAGMTTAAACTATGAGAAAACAATTCATTTCAAATATTTACACACACTGCATGCCATTAAATCTGATACGAAATGTTTCAGGACCACTGGCAGCATTCTAATGGTCGTCCTGTGAGCCGCGAGGAGCTAATGATGACGCTGGCCAATCTGGACAGCATCAGCATCCGCACCATCTACGACAACCACATGGTCAGTGTGGGGCTCAGTGACGTTATCATGGATACTACCACCGTGGAGTTCAGCACTCTGGGCCATGCTAAGGATGTCGAGGAATGCAGGCAAGAAAAGAGCATTTAGTGAGATAAAACTGTCAGTCAGCAGTTTGCAATCAAATATTCCCACGTTCACAGAGTTCGTGTTTACAGTGGCTTACAAATGTATTTACTAAGTAAGTAAGTAAGTAAAGTTTTATTTATAAAGCACCTTTCACACAAATACATTCACAAGGTGCTGTACATTCATTAACAGTATAATAATGGTGGAAGGATAAAAAATGAAACCGAAAACAAAAATTAAACATAAGCAATGAAAATTGAAACATCAAATCAAGATTATTTTCTAAAATTGTTACTCAAACACAAGGTCAATGCAAAGCAAAATATACAATAATACACAAAACATAATGAATGCGGGAGGGGAAAATATGGCGTAATTTCAATAATTAAAAACACAGATTGATGAGCATTTACTTTTGAGGTAGGCTGGCATTAATGATGAATGGTTAGCTAAACGCTAAAAGTGAGTTTTTAGGAGTGACTTGAAAGAGACAATGTTATCAATGGAGCGCAGATTAAAAGGGAGTTCATTCCAGAGCCTGGGGGCCACAGAGGAGAAGGCGCAGTCACCACAGGTCTTGCATTTACTGTTTTTGTTGCCTTACAACCTAGAAWTTTTATATAATTAGAAGTAATGACCTTTACACAAAATACTTTGAGGTAAATGAGAAGAAATTAGTTTGAAATTATAGAGAAAACTTTAACTGAAAGTGGCGACAATAAGAACCCACACTCCCACTAGTTCAAGGAAAGATGGTAGTAATTATTAATGCCCATTTTTTGTCCTATTTCTTGTTTTACAATAAAAATATTGTGCATTACAGTGGTGGGCACTAGTCCCCTAATGCCCAAAAGCGCTTATTGTGGACCTAAGTTTCTTGTTTGTGCTTTAATAGTTTCACTAATTATTTCAAACGATGTGTGAATTTRCACTTTCTAATTTTAAAATTGAGTAGCACCAGTGGTGGGCACAGTTCCCCTAAAGCACTAAAGCACTAATAGGGGAACTAATTTCCTTATTTGTGCTTTAGGGCAGGGGTTCTCAAACCTTTTGAGTCTGGGGACCCCTTACAACACTGAAAAAAATTGCAGGGACCCCCTCATAAACCCCATGCTG